CCCATGAGATTTCTTCGTTGCGTTAATAACGCGTTAAAGCCCGTTTTTTAAGTGGACGATAAAGTGCGTTATTAGCATACTTTTCTTGTTACAAAAGTTTAAGGCGATGTAAGAGATTAAACTTTAATCCCTTACATCGAATTAAACTTTTGTAACAGTTGTTTTTCAAGAACAGAACAACGTGATACATTAGTAATGTATCACGTTGTTCTGTTTTTGAAAAAATATTGCGTTGTGACCAGATAAAGATCAGAATGTCTTATAATGCACTAAAAATATATTCTGTTGCCAACACCCTTCGTTACGTTCTTTGGGTAGTTTAATCTCTTTTCAAATAGATTTCATCATGTTTTACTCGGTATTTTCTTCGAGAACATGAAGCAATCAGAACTTTTCTCACCTTTTTCAAAGTACACTTTAATTTATTTCGTGTTTTGAGCTTTCAACTGCATTTCGTTTTAGTGTGTAAAAGTTGAACTGTTTTTAATTTGTTTATCTAAAGTGTGATATTGTCTTTGCCAGCGAAAAGTATCTCAGATGTATTTCTTCAGACTTTTTGTCTGTGTATTTTTCAGTTATGCTCCTAAATACTACTGTCATTTGATCTCAGAATAGAAGTGAGAGGGGCTGTGTTTGCGTTTTACCTGTGAGTTTTGCCAATAAGGTAACGTTTGCCGTATGTGAAGAATACATTAACGCTGGCACTTCCAGTGAATGTGCATCTGTAGATACTTGTCACTCGAATCAGCTCATTGCTAGAGGCAGTCTAGCGTCCTGTGATTGAGGTGCTCTGGCTATGCCGCTATCCTCTGTGCGTCAAACAGAATCGGATGATCGGAACAGAATAACGTGTTACAACGGGATAAAGCCTGTGGCCCGTCACACCGTGTTGCACTTTTATCGATAAATTGTAGCACTTTAAAGCTAAAAAACACGCTTTTCAGGATTTTTTGGTATCAGAAAAATCTCATGGGCCGATATTTTGTGTCTGTATGTTGCTGATTTCATTAGTTTTTCTTCCTCTGAGTGGTAGAGGGCTCTTCCAACTGCTCTTCGTCATCTTCTACTTTAAGATAGCATTCTGGTGTCGGTTTAGCTACAACTCGAGCAGATCTTCGAACATCTTGCTGAGTAGTTGTGATGGTATTTAATCGTGGATTAGAAGAACGTGTAGCCTGCTCAGATGGTACACCGTTTTTTTATGTCTTCGTACGGCTTGTCTCACAGTTTTATCGATATAAGTATCATCCTAGTCATTACAGGGTATCATATAAACTAAATGTGACTGCAGATCTTTACTAATTTGATCTTTAATGAGAAATGATTTGAAATAATCGGTGGCAGTCGAGAGATTGATTGTACATGTAGACTAGACCTCACAGTTTTGCTTAATTTAATAATTTGTTTTCTTAATCTTTTTGTTTCTTTATGAATGAATGCTAGATCAGTGAATATCTGTTCACTTTTTTTAAATTTATGGTTCAACGCTTATTTAACTGCGGACTTGGTAGCTGTAGCTGATTTCTCGAAATGTCTGTTTAAAGTTTTTCTGATCTGATTTAAAACGAACGATTTTGGATACCCGAGGTCTCTCGTCAATGTTTGGATGTATTCTAATTCGGTATGTAAACTGTGATATGAGGAACAGATCTGAATAGCTCGGTAAACCATTGAACTGACCGTTGAAACTTTATACGAGTGTGGTACGAAGAATTGTCAGTTTAGTAACAGTCCAGTAAAAGTAGTTTTTCTATCAATTTTTGTTGAGAATAAGCTGCCACTAATTGGATCAATTTTTTTGCTTATCAGAATGTCTAGAAATGGTAATGTGAAACTCTTTTCTCGTTCTATTGTAAACTGAACGTCACTAACAATATTTTCTGGACGTCTGACCCTTCTTAATAATCATAAAACAGCCATCAACAAATCGTCGCCAATAACAAACACCATTAAATCCTCATCTCCGTTTAAGTTTAGCTTCCAAGTGACTTACACAGATATCCGCGAATAGTGGCCCTAATGGGCTTGAAATTAATTTATTTTCGTCTGTTTCTTTCTCTATTGACGTATAAGTATACTAGTAGTACTGATATACACACAGTTAAAATATTAATTCTATTTATTTATTCAGCACAAATTATTTGTTTATTACATAATTTTAAAAATATATTATTCTAACGTTCTGAGTCACCGAGTAATCATCAGAGAAAATTTAATCATATACAATGTAGATAGAGAAATGTTGACGTTACATTTACACTGTACGTATAAAGAAAGATAGGAGAGAAGTACATATATATAAATGCTATCATATGTGCCTTCCATTATAGGATCAGAGCATCAAGATCAAAAACATATGTATGGCAACTGTCTAAGTAAAACTAGTAGAAGAAACATGAAAAGAAAGAAGAAGCATTAATTTTTCTTTCTTACTTTAGAAACTTTTTTTAGTCAGTTTCTGATTGAGTGACCAGTTTGTAGACCGTGTTTACCTAACGCTGATTTAGGTTTATAGTCTGTAGTTGATTCACTCAAAGAGTAATTAGTTTGTGTTAAGTTTTGTTGAGCTATTCTTTGACTACCCAAGCACGAAAAAAAATCATGAAGCGGGGTCTGGATCGGGATTAAAAGGTACATTTATCTAGCTTCAGCTAGCTGTAGAGAAATACATGAAAATTTTATCTAGCTTCAGCTAGATTGAGTTTCAATTGGGTACAACTAGTTGCTATCGATTAACCGGGCAAATCATTGCTCGATTAATTGGGTCATGCAGTGGCCGTTTCAGCTAGTACACAATTTCAACTAGATAAATGTACCTTTTAATCTAGTTAATCTAGCTGTAAGTGGGCGTTGCAGCTACTTCTGCAGCTAGATTTTCTCGCTTACTTAGTTTTGCTTGGGTACGTCCTAAACCGTTAGTTTCAAAATGCGACCATGTGAGATATTTTTGCTTTTATTAATCGCATTACTTAAGCGATAGTACTTAGATATAATTCTGCTTTTTGAACATCTTTCTCATGCTCCATTGTTCGACGGCACATTTGTCTAATACATTTACCAATGTAGTCACCGTCACAGTCATTATAATCTATTTTTATAAATTACACCAGATAACTGATTATTATTTAAACAATCTTTATTTGGAAAATGCTGTTTAATAGTGTTATATGTTTTATATGTTTTATACAACCGTGTTTAGCACGAAAAGATGCTTTAAGACAACAAATCAGAAGAGCAAAACGTGTTTGCGACGAAGAGGTTGAACAGAAAACTTTGGACGATTTTATATTACCAGATGCATACTGTATTACACTCAGTGGAATGCGTTTTGCAAAAGACGTCACCGATGGAACTGAAAGAATTTTGCTTTTCACCACAAGTGAAAATCTTAAGTGGCTGTAAGAAGCGAAATTTTGGATTATGGAAGGAACATTTAAAATTGTGCCAACTTTGTTCCGGCAATTGTACAGCATTCGCGCTCCTGCTGGTGGAAATGTTAATTTCCGAATAATTCCCTTGGTTTACGCACTAATGAGTAAGAAAACTGAAGAATATATCAGAGATTATTCCAGGAACTCAATGAATTGGAATTAAAACCAGACTTCGTGTTAACTGATTTTGAAAAAGGGTCAATCAACGCAGTAAAATCAGAGTTTCCAAGTGCTCAAAGCAAAAACTGTCACTTTCATTTAGGCCAATCGGTATACAGACAAATTCAAGACGCAGGACTGACCAAAAAATACGGAACTGACCAAAACTTTAGTCTTCTTATAAGACATATTCCAGCTTTGGCGTTTGTAAGTCCTTTAGAAATTCCTGATGCTTTTGACGAAGTCAAACCTATATTACCATCTGATGCTGAACCAATTGTTCAATGGTTTGAAAATAACTATGTACATAGAAGAGTAAAAAGAACATTGAGAAACGGCAGAGTTCAAAGACACAATCCATTATATCCACCAGAAATGCGGTCTGTCTTTGATAACATGGAATTTGCATTTCCAAGAACTCAAAACAAAGTCGAAGCCTGACATCGACGCTGAGAAATATTAATTGGTCGAGCTCATGAAAAAAGAACAAAATGAAGTTGAAATGGAAATTGGAAAATCGATGCGGGGAGAACCAGCTCCAAAGAAGCGCAAGGAAGACGAAAACAAGGAATCCCGAATTCAAAATGTTATTGCTGATCGCGTTAACCCTAGGCAGTCGTCTACGGGTCCAACCGGACCCGTTTCGCAGTGTTTTCTTTACCATTACGTCTTCATCGAATTGTTCGAACTGCTATTTTGTCTAATCGTCTATAAGAGTAGTGCTCATACGAACCTTACTGTGTTTTGCGAATAAGTCTTAAACGCTAAATTTTAGACTACGGGTCCATGTGGACCTCAGGACACTCTTTGTGTTATGTTCGCATATTTGAACGTTCTATTGACGCCTTCTGTTTTCCCCCGCATAGATTCGTTTCTAAACCGTTTCATTCGTCGTCGCTAATGATGACCGACCGTTACAGGCCTATGACCTTTCACATGTCAGACGCGTGATCATCATTCACATTCATTCTCTTTGTTCTCGATATTTCTCTCTGTTCACACATACATACATATTGTACATAACATCTCTCTCTTTGTTGCCGGATACTTTCCTTTTCAGTAAATGATAACTGTTATTTTACTATCTCTTTCTTTTTTACTATCTGCCGGACGTCTAATACTTTCTTTTTCTTTTCCATTGTGCTCGCATATATATATACCGGTGTAATGTTTTCATCTCTCGGATTAAATCATACCGTTCACGCGCACGTTTATCTCCGTTTTTTTGGTTTTTAAAATAAAGACAGAGGAGAAACTATGGCCTCTAGGTTAAACCTACAACGAACTCGAGAAATTCTTTTCACGAGTGACAATGACAATGCTGTTGTCGATAATGATGCATCGGAATCTGACAGCGATTTCGAGATTTCTGCGATCGAACCTGATGACACATCCACCGATGAACAAATTTCGAAAGAAGATGAATCGTCGGGCTCAGATATTGATGGTGGTGCTCATGATGCCATTGGTCAAAATCCTCAACCGAAATCAATCGAGAAGGCTAGTGTGACATGGTCTAGAGATCAGACGTCAGCGCAAGGTCGTATTCATGCGGAAAACATCATGAAGATTAGAGCGGGTTCCATTACTGCTGTTGAATCGATTTTATGTGCCTTCAGGCTATTTTTTACCGATGAGATCTTTGATGAAGTTGTACAACAAACCAATCGGTATGCTACATTTTTTATTGATCAGCGAAAACAAACTCAAAAAGATCATGGATATAGTCAAACGAAATCGCATCAGTGGAAGCCCATTGATCTCATTGAATTAAAGGCTTTTCTCGGACTACTAATCCAAGCTAGTGTTACCCATAGAAATCATGATTTGCTCAATGAATTATGGGATATTAGTCAAAACTGCCCAATATTTCGAGCATCCGTGTCTCTTCAACGGTTCAAGATACTTTTGCAGTTTCTAAGATTTGATGATCGGCGGCACCATGACAAATCTGATCGTCTCGCCCCAATCAGATTTATTTTCGAACGTTTTACGAAAGAATTATCTCGCCATTTTGTGCCTGGTGAGAATATAATCGTCGACGAACAACTGGTTCCTTTCCGTGGCCGCTGTGGTTTCGTACAATCTATGCCAAAGAAACCTGCCAAATACGGCCTCAAATTTTGGGCTATATGCGAAGTTGTTAGCCGATTCATTTTAGGACTCGAGTTGTATACTGGAAAGATCAACAATATTGTGCAGAAAAATCTGGCTGCTAACGTAACTCTTCGATTGGTAGACCAGTTACCGAATAATGTGAAACAAGGTCGCACTGTCACATTGGATCGTTATTTTACCGGTATTAAATTAGCCGAAGCTCTTTTGCATCGGAAAATGACATCAATTGGTGTTGTTGATCACAAACGTTCTTTCGTCCCAAATGATCTTGGTTCTATTTCTCGGGACGAAACATGCTCTTGTCCTACCAAGCCAAGGAAAAACAGAAGCCGATTATTCTATTTCAACAACGCATGTTATTCCGGAGATAATGGACGATGAAAAAAATTTCCATGTGCAATCCACGATTATAATCAGACCAAGAGTGGAGTTGACGCTGTCGATCCGTGCATTGAAAACTACACTGTGCGCCGCATTTCTCGTCGATGACCTATGACGGTATTTTTCAATTTGATTGATATTGCTGGCATCAATGCAATGACGATCTGGCTGTCTCAGAATCCCGATTGGAATTCTAGACGAAAAGAAGTCCGTCGGATCTTCTTGATACAATTGAGTAAAGCTTTGGCACCGCCACATTACCGCTACATTTGATAGCATACTCACGGTTATATAGTATGATGAGAACCTTTAATGCACGCAGAAAATCGAATTTTTTTATTTCTTTCTTCGACGGGTCCAACAGGACCCGTGGACAGCTATGAAGTCCTAAAATGAGGACGGCTGCCGAGGGTTAATAGATCAATTATCGATTTTCTTCGGGACATTGCCCATAATCTTTCATTATAAATATTTGTGACTTTTAATAAAAAGATTTTCTGACTCAATATTTTCAAGAAATTTCAGTTTTTTGACTTCAAATATTTGTCGGCCAAATGAGCTGTCGGTGAAGTGTACATGTCGGTCAAACAATTTGTCGGCGAAATGATGTCGGCCAAGTGAACGCGACCTATGTTTGGATCTGCTGTGTCTGGCTCGTGGATCGCCAGAAAGTCGTCTAATAGATGCAATATATGGCGTATGCCATAATTATTTCTTGCTATCCAACAAATCATAGATGATAATTTGTCGAAAATAGCCGGAGAACTACGTGAACCGAACATCAGTTTTGTATAAAAATAGAAATTCACGTGCCATTGGACTTCTTGGAAAGACCACAAGGAAGGAGGCACCGGGATTTGTTTAAAGGCGTCCTTTATATCGAGTTTGGTTAAAGAGCTTCCAGCATCTAACTCCATAATCTTCTTACGGGCATTATCTAGTGTTACGTAGCACAAACTGTAATCTTCTCTGCGTATGAGTGAATTGAGACTGTCGTGTAGTGGATTATTATAAGGACTATAGTCCTTATAATTGTGGACATGTCTATAGACACATCCACAATCAAATGAGGTTTCCCTGCATATTTTCCAAACACCAGCCCGAGTGGATTGATCCGATACATCAGGAATGGTGGCATCGAAAACGGACCAATGAGATAACCGCTCGCCAATTCTTGTTGCAGGAACTTAGTAACTTTTTCTGGATGTTTCAAAGCACTCTGAAGATTTTTGCAAATATAGAATTCCGTCGGTAGCGGTGAAATACCTGTATCATAGCCCTGGGAGAGTCCTTGTAAAAGCCTGTTTACTTTAACTGGGTCAGGGTGATTCAGCAGCTCAATCCGAAGTCGATCGATGTTAATCGGAGTGGAATCCCTACAAGCACAAAAATGATAGCCTGCAGATTGCAAATTCTAGAGAGCCGCCTAAGCGAAGGTAAATAAAACGGGTTGCATTCCGAAGAAGAGTTACTTTAACACAAAATAGTGCACCAAAGCGAGTCCGCACTAATAATACCAAATATATTCTTTTGATAGTCTATCATTTCTTAGTGTTATTGTTAGCAAGAGCCTGAGAAGGAAGTGGTACTGTAGGACGAGCAGGCGAGGTGTTGTTGACTGCGCTCTGTAAACAATCAACACGACTATGTGCAGTTGAATGATACAGTAGACATGCATACAAGAAATTACAAGGTTGACGTTTACATCGATTTCGTTAACATCACTGTAATCATTGCACAATTCGTGATTACCAAAATAAACGCGCGTTCTTCCACGTGAATCAGCTATTGTACCACGAAAATTAAAAAATGGAGTACGGTTGTTGTCGCGGTGGATCAGGGTTGGTATCACTCGAAAACTTACGGACAGTATCTATAAATTCTTTTACTGCTGCTGTTGCTGATGTCGATAAATCATCTGTACGACCTGCTGCCGATGTTGTTGTTGTTGCCGCTGTTGTTACTGGTTGAGAAGTGGCATTGGTATGATTGAAATTGATAGTGGACAATTGCTGTAATAGATCATGTGTTGGGTCTAGAGGTGCAGACGACGATGGTAACGTTGTTGCTGTCGCTATCATTTGAGATAGTTGTGACGTACACATAGCTGTCGGTACTGGTGATAGCTTGTGCAGATTGCGCTTGTAAAGATCTAATAGTTGTTTTTTGGTGGAGTCCGGATCTGTTGAAATGTTGAGAGTTCTTTCTAATGCCGTGCGTAAAACCTGTTTCTCAAGTTCCTCATCTAATTCTTGTGATGGACTGGCAGCTCGCTGACGTTTTGAATCATTATGATGCGCGCATGATTTGCTACGTTTAGAACGTATTGCTGGCATGAATTCAAGACTAACCAAGGTGTACTGTTAAAGTTAAATAAAATTCCTTAAACTATCTTAAACAAGAACTAAACTGATGAAGGTTGCTTAAACTAAGTTTCTTCTCACTAGAAAAATCGAAAACTAAGACAAATATAAAAATTTTCGTTCCAGGACTGCTTGACTACTATAAAATGGCGATGGCGCTTGCTGCACTTCTCATGAACTAAAATTCGATACTTTCTCGAATTATCAAATTGTTAGATGCTAATTCGCACATCTCTACCCACTTATTTCTTATGTATATGTTCATAGTCGATATGTTTCTTCATTCTACTATTAACTCATATGTGTTTGATTTTTCCTTTTCTGTTATCACATATATGTGTATTTTCCCTTTCTTATGCATAACATATGTTTCATCTTTTCTTTTGACAAGTACTTTTCTTTCTCTCAGTGTTATTGTTCATATGTGTTATATCTGATGGGATTTTTTCCCGATCATTTTACCTCGATCACCTATGGGATATTTCCTAAAGATGTGTGATGTCCAATCCTATAT